TTTAACACATTTTACTTCCAAATGTGCTTCGCGCCACAACGCCGTGAACTTTTCCAACATCTCAACTTCCAAAAGTGGTCCGGTGCTAAGGTGTTTTGTATCTTTGCACTTCGAAATCGGCTTCGCGCCACAACGGCGTGCAACTTTTCATCTCTCATCTCCCCAGATGTCTCCGCACCCGCCGCTTTAGCGAGCCTACTTTTCGACCCTCCGGAGCCCCAAATCATTGGAAAAACACAGTGTTTCGCGACTTTCCTACATCTGCGTCTGCTTTCTTCTGACTCTTTCTCTTCTCTGATCTTCTCTCTTCTACTCTCTCTCTTCTCTCTGCCTCTTCCCTGCTCTGCTTTTCATCTGTCCATATTGTCAAAAGTTTAACTTCTAAACTTCCTTCGATTATGTAATATGATACTATATTACATTAGGTACTATTATATTATATCATATTACATTATATTATCTTATCTTATAGCATATTATACTAGATTAGATTACATTACATTATATTACATTATCTATTGCATTATGTATTATCTACTATTTTACATATTATCTAGTATGTTACATTATATTAAATATTTGTAATATATTATTTTGTATACTTATTTTATATTGTCAATTATCATATATTACTAATAATTATATATTATTAATTATTATATGTTATTGACTTTTATATATTATATTATATATTACGTATTATATATTATTTTATATGTTATATATTATATGTTATATATTATATGTTATATATTTTATTATATATTATATACTATACATTATATATTATATATAATATATATAATATGCTATATGTCATGTATTATATGTTATATGTCATACATTATATCTTATATATTATACATTATAGATTAAATATTAAATATTATATGTACCTTATATGTTCTATATATCATATTTTTTTACTATATATTACATATTATATATTACATATTATATATTACATATTATATATTACATATTATATATTACATATTATATATTACATATTATATATTACATATTTTATTATATATATTTTATATTATATGTTATTATTTGAGAATTTGTAGCATATATCATATATCACATATTGCCTATTATATAAATTCGTGTATGATATGTTATGTATCATTAATCATATATTATATATTATATGTTATTTCTTTTGTATTATGTGTTATACATCATACATTATATCTTGTATAACATATATTATGTATTAGACATTATTTATATTGTAGTACACATTCTATACTATATATTATACATTATATATTAAATATTATATAGTATATATTATTTATTTTGTATTCTATATTATATTATATGTTATATAATATTTATTTTTTTTAAGTAAATTCTATTTTATTATTATATTCAACTATATTATATGATATTACCCAATTATATTATGTTGTGTTTTTTTAAATATTGTATATGCGTTGGAGATTGGTGGAATGTTTCATTGCGCTGGGCTGAGCAGGCCAAGAATCTGCCTATATTTGATTTGCTGATGCCCAGCTTGAATAGTTCACTTGACAATTTCTTCTTGATATTTCCAGTTGATATAGTTTTATTTGCACCAAAAGATGGAACGGTTCATATGTGGCTGCATCTTTTGGGAGCCTGGAAAAAAGGAGATGCCTACATTTTCTTAATGTTGTTGACATTGCTGTTTTGGTGGTTGCATGGTCACGGACATGTCACATGTGGCGCATTCCCTTCCACAAGTTCATTTTAACAGAATACGGATGGATTGAGCCCCCAAACCGAACAAACTTACAACATACGAGGAGGAATTCCGACTACGTCGTGTCAATTCAAAGGATGCAAGTTTTTAATACGCATTCATAGTCTGAGTCCCCTTATCATTTGAGGAAATATTTGGAGATGTTGTTTCCAAGCCAATGTATCTCGATGCAGCTAAATACGCCAGTAACAGCCTCTCTGTCTTGCGTCTAAGACTCTTGCTTCTTTTGGCATCCGGTCCCATTTTGGGCTACTGATTGGTACAGTTTGTGGTCAGTTTTTGGCCCTTGATTCAGTCTGCAAGAGACGCACGTGTTTTAACCAGCCTGTTACGCTAGTCTTTTGTGGAAATAGTCTGCCATATCTTGAAATTTGTTGGTTTTATACAAATATTTTGACACATATATATATATATGTAAATATATATATATTTATTTATTTCTTTCTTTACATATGTAAATATAGATTCCTCTTTTTAATGTAAATATATACTTAAATATTGTGTATATATATAAATGTGTGTGTATATCTGTATATATACATGTATATGTATCTGTATATATATATACTGTATATATGTATATCCGTGTATATATTTATGTAAGTGTATCTATAATGTATATATGTAAATATATTTATATATATGTATATATAAATAGATGTTTGGATATGTTTATTTGAATAGTTATGTGTATGTATGTAATGTCATGTAATGTAATGTAATGTCATGTAATGTAGTGTAATGTCATGTAATGTAATGTCATGTAATGTAATGTAATGTCATGTAATGTTATGTAATGTTATGGTATGTTATGTAATGTAATGTCATGTAATGTAATGTAATGTCATGTAACGTAATGTAATGTTATGGTATGTTATGTAATGTAATGTCATGTAATGTAATGTCATGTCATGTTATGTTATGTAATGTAATGATATGTAATGTAATGTAATTTAATGTAATGTAATGTAAGGTAAGGTAAGGTAAGGTAAGGTATGTATGTATGTAATGTAATGTAATGTAATGTCATGTTATGTAATGTAATGTAATGTAAGTATGTAAGTATGTAAGTATGTAAGTATGTAAGTATGTAAGTATGTAAGTATGTAAGTATGTAAGTATGTATGTATGTATGTATGTATGTATGTATGTATGTATGTATGTATGTATGTATGTAATGTATGTAGTGTATGTAATGTATGTAATGTATGTAATGTATGTAATGTATGTATGTATGTATGTATGTATGAATGTAATGTAATGTAATGTAATGTAATGTAATGTATGTATGTATGTATGTATGTATGTGCGTACGTACGTACGTAGGTATGTATGTAATGTATGTAATGTATGTAATGTATGTAATGTATGTAATGTATGTAATGTATGTAATGTATGTAATGTATGTAATGTATGTAATGTATGTAATGTATGGCATGTATGTAATGTATGTAATGTATGTAATGTATGTAATGTATGTAATGTATGTAATGTATGTAATGTATGTAATGTATGGCATGTATGTAATGTATGTAATGTATGTAATGTATGTAATGTATGTAATGTATGTAATGTATGTAATGTATGTAATGCATGTAATGTATGTAATGTATGTAATGTATGTAATGTATGTAATGTATGTAGTGTATGTAAAGTATGTAAAGTATGTAAAGTATGTAAAGTATGTAATGTATGTAATGTATGTAATGTATGTAATGTATGTAATGTATGTAATGTATGTAATGTATGTAATGTATGTAATGTATGTAATGTATGTAATGTATGTAATGTATGTAATGTATGTAATGTATGTAATGTAAGTAATGTATGTAATGTATGTAATGTATGTAATGTATGTAATGTATGTACTGTATGTAATGTATGTAATGTATGTAATGTATGTAATGTATGTAATGTATGTAATGTATGTAATGTATGTAATGTATGTAATGTATGTAATGTATGTAATGTATGTAATGTATGTAATGTATGTAATGTATGTAATGTATGTAATGTATGTAATGTAGTAATGTATGTAATGTATGGATGTAATGCATCTAATGCCTCTAATGATCTAATGCATGTTTATAAAAATTTTAATTGCAATAAATTAAATGTAATGTATGTAATGTATGTAATGTATGTAATGTATGTAATGTATGTAATGTATGTAATGTATGTAATGTATGTAGTGTATGTAATGTATGTAGTGTATGTAATGTATGTAATGTATGTAATGTATGTAATGTATGTAATGTATGTAATGTATGTAGTGTATGTAGTGTATGTAATGTATGTAATGTATGTAATGTATGTAATGTATGTAATGTATGTAATGTATGTAATGTATGTAATGGATGTAATGGATGTAATGGATGTAATGGATGTAATGGATGTAATGGATGTAATGGATGTAATGGATGTAATGGATGTAATGGATGTAATGGATGTAATGGATGTAATGGATGTAATGGATGTAATGGATGTAATGGATGTAATGTATGTAATGTATGTAATGTATGTAATGTATGTAATGTATGTAATGTATGTAATGTATGTAATGTATGTATGTATGTATGTATGTATGTAATGTATGTAATGTATGTAATGTATGTAATGTATGTAATGTATGTAATGTATGTATGTATGTATGTATGTATGTATGGTATGTATGTAATGTAATGTAATGTAACGTAATGTAATGTAATGTCATGTAATGTAATGTAATGTCATGTAATGTAATGTAATGTAATGTAATGTAATGTTATGGTATGTAATGTCATGTAATGTCATGTAATGTAATGTAATGTCATGTAATGTTATGGTATGTTATGTAATGTAATGTCATGTAATGTAATGTAATGTCATGTAATGTATGTATGTATGTATGTATGCATGTATGCATGTATGCATGTATGCATGTATGCATGTATGCATGTATGCATGTATGCATGTATGCATGTATGCATGCATGCATGTATGCATGTATGCATGTATGCATGTATGTATATGTCTTTGTCTATGTCTTTGTCTATGTCTTTGTCTATGTCTTTGTCTATGTCTTTGTCTATGTCTTTGTCTATGTCTTTGTCTATGTATATGTATATGTATATGCATATGTATATATATATATGTGTGTGTGGGTGTGTGTGGGTGTGTGTGTGTGTGTTCTATCTTCTTTAGCAAGCCCCTCACAAACCCTACGTTTACAGCCCCCTTTCGGACCCTCGGCACCATTCGCACCCAGGTCTCGTTCTCGGAGATTCTTTCTACCACCGAACTCGCAGAGCATCTCAGGTGCCTTATATATTCATATATATTATAGTAGTATTTTTTTTTGTGATTGGCTTGATTAATACTCTGCCGTTGTGCGTGGTTTGGATTGCTTCTACAGACATACTTGTTTTACAGTAAGATGTGGATATTACATAAATACAGTGTACATAGTATAAGACGGTATAGTATGATATAATATAACATACTGTAAAAAGATAATACAACGTAATATGATATACTAATACTATAACATGATATGCC